GGTGGGGGGGTTGCCTGAGTGGCTCAGGTGGGTAAGCATCTGCCTTGGGCTCAGGTCATGATTTCAGGCTCAGGGTGGATTCTCGTGGATGGAGCCCAGTGTCCAGCTACTCCTTCAGCAGGGAGTCTACTTCTTCTCCATGGGCACCTCCCCCCGCCCCCCCACCACCCCCCCCCGCCCCCCGCCCTGCTCCTGCTCTCTTTCTCTCAAATAAATAAAGTCTTAAAAAAATAAAAGGGATGGGGGCACGTCAATGACATTTACTGTGATTTTAAAATATTAATGAAAACCAGTATTCTTAAGCAGTCAATTATAATTGTTATTGCATGTTGATGTCTTTTTTTTTTTTTTTTTTTTGGTATTACCAGAATTTCCTACACCTGGATTAGGTTATGAATTTTGATTGTTTTCACTATACCTTTGGCTTTGGGTGACATTTAATTTTGTTATTGCTTCAAAGCATCTCAATCAAAAAATTAAGAACATTGGAAGAGATGTGAGTAGGTAAAAGGTATTTTAAAATTTTTGCTGGTGAGTAAAAGGCTGTTAAAGTCTAAAAGCTTCTCAGGATTCAGACCAAATCCAGGCCTCGACCCAGTATTCTTCTCGCTAGACTACATTGTGTAGTAAGCAAACTTTAATTTGCAGACACATTCCCAAATTTAATGTAAATGGATCACAATAAAGAACCAACATATAAGTGACCCTACAGGTTCTGCCTGCCTAAAGTCTACTTTTCTTTCAAGAACTGAGTCACATATCTCTTCTCTATGAAGTATACCTTTCCACCCCCACAAAGCTAGTTTCAGCATGCTCTCATTGCTATGAATTTTTAAGGTCACTCATCTATTTTATGACACTTTTTAATTTTTCCTTTGAATTCATTATTTAATTATTTAGACATTGCATCTACCCCAGTTGAATTTCTGGTTCACTGTAGGAAGGTCTTGGTCTGATGACCAATATGCTTTCCAATTATTATGGCCAAACGTGACAAATACTTTATTATTTGAATAATAGGGAACACCAAGATTTTTTTTTTAAAGATTTTATTTATTTGAGAGAGAGAATGAGATAGCATGAGAGGGGGGAGGGTCAGAGAGAGAGGCAGACTCCCTGCTGAGCAGGGAGCCGGACGTGGGACTCGATCCCAGGACTCCAGGATCATGACCTGAGCCGAAGGCAGTCGCTTAACCAACTGAGCCACCCAGGCGCCCCAAGATTTTTTTTTTTTAAGATTTTATTTATTTATTTGACAGAGAGAGACATAGCGAGAGAGGGAACACAAGCAGGGGGAGTGGGAGAGGGAGAAGCAGGCTTCCCGTTGAGCAGGGAGCCCAAAGACATGGGGCTCGATCCCAGGACCCTGGGATCATGACCTGAGCTGAAGGCAGACGCTTAACTGACTGAGCCACCCAGGCGCCCCCAAGATGTTCTTAATAGAAGTTCTGTGTAACTACTATTTTAACTAGTGCTTTGTTCTGCTCTCCCTTTATAAGTAGGCTTATCTTTAGTAATTGAAGATGAGTTTTCATCACAGACTCAAAGTACTTTAAGAAATAAGAGTCACACATAGAACGTTAAAACTGTTAATCAGAGTTCATTGTGGTGTGCAGTAGAGAGGAAAGACATCCCAAGGAATTTGACTCACTCCGGACCTTGAAGGATAAAGAATGTATGTAAAGGTGGAGAGGATGGGGAGGGCTTTCAAATGGAGACCGGGATGGGCCACATTTGGAGATGATAAAGTGCCTGAGTGATAAAAGCCAGCCCTGGGCAGAGGATGGCGGCAGTGGGAGGTACCTATCAGACGGCAGTACTGCCACTCTCTGAAGCCAAGTCCGCTGTGAACAGAGTTGTCCCAGCTGCTTTACCTCCCTGCCTGTGGCAGTTGGGCTTCTCTTCAGCCTTCCCGATGAAACCCTTAAAGCCCTCAGTTTCCCAGTTATTTCTTGCTAATAAATCCCGTGTGTATTTTTTAGTACTCATCATCTAAAAAATAAAATACAGTCAGTGTCTAAAAACCCAAAAGATGATTCTGATGTAAAAACTCATTCTCTTCCTTGGTGGGGCAACTTTTTCTTCCCAGTTATATGCATTTAGGTACCTCTTCTTTGGTGCGGAATAATCACTGATGTAAACATTCATTCATTCAATAAATGAGTGTCTGCTGTGTGGCAGGCATTGTTCCAGAAATTCTATGCATTTGCAAATATGTGTGACACAGGGCAGTCCCTACTGTCATGTAATTAATTACTCTTTAATGGAAGAAGACGTGATAAACAACTATGTTACTGGCTGATAAGCCCTAAGGCAAAAAGTAAAACAAATAGAGGTACTATCTTAAAGTTAGGAGCAGACCCTGTGAGGATCTTGAGTCAGGAATGTTACAGGAGTAAAAATAATGGAGGTGAGGATTATCCTAGGTGTATTCAAGGAAAGGGCAAGAGACACAGTAGTGGAGGGCCATGAGCCCAGGGAGAGAGGAAATTGGAGAGACCAGAGGTAAGAGAGGACAAATTATAGGACTCCAGGTCTTATTCTGGGTGAAGTCAGAAGTCATTGGAGGGAATGAGAGGGAGTGTGGTGATCTGACTTAGGATTTCAGAGGATCCCTCTGGCAGCTTTGTTGAGAATAGAATGTAAAGTGGCAATGCTGGGAGCTGGGAGACCGCTTAGCAGCTTGAACAGAGGTGTTTGTTGATGGATTGGATTGCCAGCTCTCTGTGTTAGGGGATTTTTTTTGGCTTGAGCAACTGGAAGAATTGTGATTTACAGAGATGGGAAGACTTGGAGAGAAAAGGATTTAGTTTGGAGGAGCTGGGAAGAGGACTCGGAAGTTAAATTAAGTTGGAGATTCCAGTTAGTCATATGACTCCAGATGTCAAGTAGGCGTTGGATTTACAAATCTGGATTTGAAGGGAGAGATCCAAGGTGAATATTTGGCATTTAAAATTTTCTTCATACAGATTTTGCAAAATGCTTGTTACATATATTCACAATTTTTAAGATTCATTTTTGTTGCTGTTGTAAAATAAGTTTTTTTTATTATACTTTCTGACTAGTTTTGCATTTGTTTATATAGGCCATTGACTTTAGTGTGTTTATATACCAACTGCTTTATTGAATTCTCTTATTTATCAAAGTTTTAAAAAATTGATTTCACTGATTTCCCACCTCCTTTGACTTTTCTGTGGATTTTTACCAAACTGTTCAGTTCTGTGAAGTACCAGTTTCTTTCATGGCTCCATTTGATGTCCTGTGCCTGAAATATCAATTATTTCTTGTTTTATTTCCTGTGAGTTTCTATTCATTTCCCTAAACTCAACTCATGTTTCCCATCTGTAAGACATTTCTGGGTTCCTAGGAAAGTTTCTCTTTCCATGAGCTTCTCTTTCCATCACCTGTGTACCTACATTGGAGCAATCATCAAACTTTATCATGATTTTGTATCTATCTATTAGTCCGTTGGAGGTTTGAACTCTTTTGGGGTAGGAACTGGGTCTTACCATTTTTCATCCCTAGTATTTAGCTGAATCTGCTACATAATTGTCTGTTACAGGGTAATTGTATGTTGAATACATGAGTAGTTAATTTCTACATATTAAAAACATTTTGAAATTGGATAAAGTTTTTCTTTATATAGATTTTATAAATGTGTTAAATTTATTGTAACTTTTAAAAATTCATTTTTGTCACTAGTGTAAAAGAAGTATTTTCTCAAGTGCATTATATCTCTGCAATTATACTTGTAAAAATTGAAGGCCTGTTATTTTAGAAAATTAATGTACAGTGTAGGAAACTTGTTTCTGCTTTTCGTGCTGTCAAGTGCATAAAGGTGCTTGGATTTATGAGACCTTAAATTTTGAAAATACTAAATGGGTGGATGTTACATATTTATTATAAAGAAGCTCTTTTATCTTGTTTGGTTTTTACTTTGTGTAAGAAATGGGGAGAGGGAGGAATTAAACTTTATATTTTTCTGGAAAGCGGTAGTAGTTATTCTTTGAAAAGCAATTAGCTTTTCATAAAGGCAACATTTTCAAAAGCTTTAATTTGCATTACTTAAAAATAGGTATATGTCATTACTAGTAGTTACTTTATATTTATTTTTATGTTTTATTTTTTCAACCCATCAAGTCATTGAATTGGCCCATGTGAATTTTTTCAGGATGTCTACTACCTGTTTCTGTTATAAATAGGTTAAGAGGTAGTCCTAGTGACACTGTAACATTTATTAGAGTAATTATTGATAAAAATTTTTTCACTGAAGCAGAAATATATTTTATCAAATAACCAATCACAGTTCATTGTTCATTGCTAAGTGCAATGGAAAATATAGCATGCTTCTTTCTTGCAGGGAATTATAAATATGGGCAGAGAGAGGAAGCTGGTACCCAGGAAAAAAATGGAAAAGATGTTAAATTTATGGAATCTGTTGTATATGCTATATAGGGAGAGACTCTATGTTGAGGGGTGAGGGGAGGGTAGTTTCAGCTAGACCTCAAAGAGTAGGTAGGGGTTATCTGGATAGAGAGGCAGAACACAATAGATTGGAAACAAATAGAATGAAAGGCATATAGGTAAGAGCTGTTATAAGGTGTAAGAATGAGATGCTGATCTCCATCCTGACACAGTAAGGATTTTTATAGTTTATCTCATCAAAGAAAATGTTACACTCTTGCTTTACTATAATAAAACCACATTAATTGAACTTAATGGAGGTGAATATCAGATCTGTTTATTATCATGTTTCTTTTTATTACCAAATGATGTAGTCATATTGTTGAAAACAAAAGAAAATGCCAATTAAAGAAGGCAAAAAAAAAAAAATCCTTAATTCCAACATCTCTAATACACAGTAAACATTTTGGTGCACTTTTTTTCCTAGATGTGAAAAACATGGACACACACATTGTGTTTTTATTAAGTTAGATCATATTAGAAAGTTATTTTAAAAATCGATAGATTTTATTTTCTGTGTTTTGTTTTTATTTAAGGAGAAAACCAAAAGCCAAGGCACCACGTCCTCCAGCTGAGACCAGATATGTTGATGCCTCTTCAGTTGATGATCCTGTAGAATCCTCTGCTTGCATCATGGAACAGAAAGAAAACATGATAGATAAAGACATTGAACTCTCAGTGGTGCTACCTGGGGATATTATCAAATCGACTACTGTTCATGGCAGGTACAATGCAATAAATGAAAGAGCAGGAGTTCCTTTTCTTCTTCTGTCATTGATACCCTCTGTTATATATGTACTTCTTGATTTCTTCTTTGACAAAATACTTCATTCATCACTCAGGTATCTATTCAATATGCTAAAAGGTGATAACTTGTTTCTAATAATATTTTAGCACCAATGCTATGAATTCCACAATCCCAGTCAAGTGACTCTTGAAATTTAGAACGATTTTTTTCTTTTGCTACTTATTTAGTAAGTTTTCTTAAAAAAAAAAAAAAAAGTCTTTCCCAGATGAACAGTCATTGGTTATATTAATTTTGTTCAGTCCAACTTAGAAAGCCAACCAGACCTATAAGAAAATTCTTTCCCTTCCTCTTCAAATTATTCCTTCTTTTTTTAAGCTGCATCTCTGAAATTTGATTTTACAGAAGTTGCTAAGTACTCTTAAAATGTCATACTCTTCTTATATATCAAAAGAGATAAATCTACCTGTAAAACTGGTAGGATTTTTTATTTCTTTGAATGATTTCATTAATGTACTAAAAATGTGGATAAGTTTAATAGAAATGTAAAATTAAACTTTAACCTAGCAAGAAGTGAAAATGTGATTTGGGGGCGCCTGGGTGGCTCAGTCATTAAGCGTCTGCCTTCGGCTCAGGTCATGATCCTGGGGTCCCGGGATCGAGTCCCACATCGGGCTCCCTGCTCGGCAGGAGGCCTGCTTCTCCCTCTCCCACTCCCCCTGCTTGTGTTCCTGCTCTCGCTGTCTCTCTCTGTCAAATAAATAAAATCTTTAAAAAAAAAAATGTGATTTGGGAGACTGATATTTTTAATAACTGCATAAAAATTGGAAAAATGGAATAAAGCCAAGTGTAATTTTCCATTTCATTTTGAAGTGGAAAGTTACATGAGTTGTATGCTTGGTCTTGTTCCACCTTTCACCTTCAACTGCCCGTTTGTTATCAGGAGTCCTGTTTTAGAAATCTAAGCTGATTTGACCTTTGTATATATAGAGAGAATGTGTGTGTGTGAGTGTGTGTAGAACAAAAGAATAAGTAAGCAACATATTGGGTGTTGCATTCTTACAGTGTGGTTTTATCTAGAAGAAACTCATTCAAGATAACCTTAATCTTAAGATTTACCATCAAGTTTAGGTGTAACTTCACAAATTATTGAAAGTATGTGAAAATAGAAAGGTTCAGCATTAACAAACAATACATAGTATTGTGTATTAAATTCTCATTAAATTTAAGTAAGTTGCATTTTGCCGTTTATTTTGTATGAAGAGTGGTTTTGGAGATCATGCATTGAATTGTATTGAGGAGGTTGAGAAATCTGTGATTGTCCTTGGTGGGCTTCCAGCTCAGAGGCAGGTAATCACCTGGGTTGTGCTTCGTTTAGGTAAGGAAGGCATCTTGTGAGTTCGAGACTCTGGCTGTCATCTTCAGTCCTTGAAATAATATTACCCTGGTTTAAAAATAATAATGATAATGGATGTGACTAGGGGTAATAAAGGCAGTTCCTCTTATTTCCTCTGAAGTCAAAGTCCTTTTTAAAAAAGTCAGTATTTTTCCTAGTTCTTTACTGATGCTGAGAGGTAACAATGGTTTCCTCACCAGTATTCCTCAGACTTTCTTCTTAGGTAGAATTTTCCTTCCCTCCTCCCCTTTGAATATCTTAAGCTTCAGCCGCAGGATTCTTTTGTTCTAGAGTCTACTTTTCCACGTCCACACCTTTTTGAAAATGTTTCCATCTGGAGTACCTTACCACCCACATTTTCTCCAGTTAGTTTATGTAGCTCAAGTGAGATTTTTATTTATAAAGGCTTCCTAATCTTCCCAGAATGAACTGTTACCCCCAACTCCAAACTCTCTTGACATTTTATACCACTGAGTTAATCATATGTTGTTTTGTGCTATAATTAATATGCATGTCTTGTCTTCTTAAGTAAACCACAAGATCCATGGGGGCATCATTATTTCATAGTGCTAAGCACAGTTTCTTGCAATATAATAGGCATTTAATAAATACATTAAAATGAATATTGTCTCCCTAAACTCTTTTTTTTTTTTAAGTTTTTATTTTTTTATTTGACAGAGAGAGACAGCGAGAGAGGAAACACAAGCAGGGGGAGTGGGAGAGGGAGAAGCAGGCTTCCCGCCAAGCAGGGAGCCCAATGTGGAGCTCAATCCCAGGATCCTGGGACCGTGACCTGAGCCCAAGGCAGACACTTAACGACTGAGCCACCCAGGCGCCCCTCCCTAAACTCTTATGTAGTTGGAGGTAACAACTTAAATGGTATGTTCTGAAGAGACATTTGTTTGGATAGTCTCTGGTTCCTTTCCTAGGATCTTTTAAATAAAGACAATTTTTCCATGTAGACAGCAAGGAAGTTATGTCCCAAATTCTGATTGCTTTTTAAAATTTGTTGAGGGCCGAAAAATTTTCCTGAGAGCAGAATTTGTTTCATATTGGTGTTTTCACTGGGGGGTTTGATTCAGGGACTTGTTCTTAATAGTTTATCATTCAGGAATGACTTAAGTTGTAGACGCAGTGACTCATTTTTTAATATTAAGTGTTTATGATTAAAAGTGGTTGTATGATTCGGGATTTCTTAGGAGTGATTATAAATATTTTAAGCTGCAATTTGGGATATCTTAAGAGTATAATTTGGAGTGGAGCGCCTGGGTGGCTCAGTCAGTTAAGCGTCTGCCTTCGGCTCAGGTCACGATCCCAGGGTCCTGAGATTGAGCCCCACGTCAGGCTCCCTGCTCAGCGGGGAGTCTGCTTCTTCCTCTCCTTCTGTCCCTCTCCCTGCTCATGCCTGCTCTCACTCTAGCTCTCTTTGTCTCTCTCAAATAAATAAAACCTTTAAAAAAAAGTATATTTTGGAGTATCTTGAATGTTGTAGCTATGGTAGGGCCATGCTTAAAAAACAAAACAGTGTTTATAACAACAAACTGTGTAAAATACAAATGTTAGCTACCGAAAGTGAAAACCCATGACATGGATAACTTAAATTTCTTCTTGGCTTTGTTACTATAAATGGAATAGGGAAAGTTTCAACAAAATAGTACAAGAATTTGGTGGAGATTAAGGAAGAGTAATTTTAAATAAGTTTATATATGTAATGTTTTCTTAGATAAATCAGAGTTCCATATTGTCACTGTGAACGGTCTTTAATAGAATTTTTTGGGACCATCTTTTCTTAATTTGTCTAAATATTGTGTATTATATTTATTTTGATAGTATTATTTATATGCATTTCCTTTGAAGAATAATATTAGTATTAGACTGGAATAAATATTTAGAAAACTTGTCATATGCTTCATTTAACTTTTCAGATATATATATATTAATTATATAAATATATATATATAAATATATATATTTTTTCCCCCAAAATGTCTTCTTGGGGAAGATTTTTAGAAAGTTTCCCTCTGTCTTCTTATACAACTAATGCAGAGATATGCTCAGAATGTTCCATTTGGAGGAATGTGAACGCATAACATTATCTTCAGGAGAATGCCCTTATTTGTACATTGATTTTTCACCAAAGAGCTTATTCAGATTAGGGAACACAATAAGGTCAGAGGTGGTAATAGACTTTATGCTCAGGGGGAAACTAAAAACTTGTCCTGAATTAGGTCGATAACCTTGCTCTGACTTACCAATCTTTTGGTACTAGAGCTTAATGATAATGCTTCTTTAAGGACCAAAAGTCACCCTTTGTCTGCCATCTTGCCTTTGCAATCCTTTGCTTACACTGAGGGTAGCTACAGTGCCAGCCTGCAAACCCTGGGCATTTCTGTGTTCCTGTCATGGATGATTGGATTGAAGGGAAATGGAATTAAAATATTTACTGTAGTGTGTGTGTGTCTGTGTGTGTAGCATATATATATATATATATATATATATATATATATATATATAATGTGTGTGTATATATATGTGTGCATATATGCATATAAACACATAAACATATATCTGTGTGTGTGTGCGCATGTGCAAGTGTGCTGGCAGAGTAAACAGCCTTTTTCACCAGGCAGAACTGCTCTGTGCTTTGCTAAAAGTAAGCATTAAAGGATACTGCTGTTAGAGATAAGCTGTCTAGGGGTTGCGCTCCTCCAGAAATGCTGCACTATGCAACAGCATAAGTAATGGTGTCTACAGGTACTTGGCAAAGTGAATTTTTAATGAAAATGAGCTTATGGGCTAAACTGTTATAGACACTACAGAGAATAAGGAAATATGTGGGTATGTTTGCCTATCATTCTGGATCCTTACCTTAGAGTCAGGTGTCTGTCCAGTATGCAATTAATCCTCACTAAATAAGTGTTCCTTTCTCCTTTGTTCTCTTTGGGACACTTTAAAAATAGTTTTCATTTGGGAGATTTGGTAAAAGATTGACATTAATCCCCTTTTTTTTAGCCAGTGGAGAGAGCATCGTAGAGTTCACACTCTCTCTCCTACAACAGGGAGGAATGGAATCAACACCATTTATAATAGACAAAGATACATTTTTCTTTTATGCTTCTACCATAAGTAGAAATTTGTTTTGATTTGAGCAAATCTGAGAATGAAATGAATGAAAACACAAATAAAGAAAGCATAGAACTTGAAGTTAGAAATCCTGGGCCCTATAGTTGATTCCGTAACTTGCTGTGTGACCTCAGGCAAGTCATCTCACCTTTCTTGCCTTTGCCTATAAAATGACCCAGAGGCACGATACACATGATTTGTGACCTGATTTACCTGTCCCAACAGCACCGGGTTATAGCAGAGTTAAGAGTAAGCCCAGTTTTGACTGGCACTGGGTGGGTCGGATAACTAGCTCAGAAATGGTTTACGTGGATTACAGTGCCACCTATTGGAAAAAGTAGACTATGAAAATTGACAATACTGGATCAACGTGGGTCAGTTTTGTTTAAAAATAAAATCAATAACACAACAGTATGGATCTCAGAAGAGTTTCACAATTTCATATTATACTTACATTTATC